CCTGTCAGTTCCACTCTGTAGAAAAAGCCAGGTCCCAGCAGAGTGCAAGGAGCAATGCCCACTGCTCCCTACGTAGCAAAATGGTTATTCTTTCTAAGGTCTGTGGGCGTTTCAGTTGTCAGCTGGGTGTTCCTCTCAGTGCAGAAAGTACCTATGGGACCAGCTGGGAGCACAGACCTGACATTTGAGGGGAGCACATATTCTTGGCAATTAACCCTATGCCCAGAATGGAGCCAGCCCTTAAATGCTAACTCCTCATAGTCGAAGGCTTGGTCACTGTCCCAAACAATGCCACTTGGAGAGCACTGACACTGCACACTCCCACTACAGTCGTTGCCTTCTTACTTTGCTCAGCTCAGCCTGTTCTACAGTTACACCCTTTGATTCAGCAGCTCTCCAGCAGTTCCCAAGAGACTCTTTGAGTAACTGGGTGAAGCACCGTCATGTGACTACAGCTCTGACAGTCTGTCTGCTTGATTCCTCCCAGATGGAGTCAACAGAGGAAACAGAATCAGGAAACCACACTCTGCTGACTGAATTTGTCCTCTCTGGATTGTCCAGCTGCCCAGAACTGCAGCACTTGCTGTTCTTCACATTCTGCTTAGTTTACACCATGACTGTCGTTGGGAACCTTCTCATCTGCGTGGTCACGGTGCACCCCACCCTCTGCACGTCCATGTACTTCTTCCTCCGGGTCCTGGCCTTCCTGGATGTTTCCACAGCATCGACTGTTGTCCCCAAGATGCTGGTAAGTTTCCTGTCAGAGGACAGGAACATCCTCTACACGAGCTGTGCCACGCAGCTCTACTGTGTGATTTTCTTCGGAGCCACTGAATGGTACCTTTTGGCAGCCATGGCCTATGACCGTTACGTGGCCATATGCAACCCCCTGAGATACACTGTCATCATGAATGGCAGAGTTTGCCTTTCCTTGGTCCTGCTGTCCTGCTGCAGTGGCAATGTTGTGTCTGTGGTGCAGACAGCTTGGGTGTTCACGATGCCCTTTTGTGGGCCCAGGAAGATTAACCACTTCTTCTGTGACATTCCCCCGCTCATCCTGCTCTCCTGCACTGACACCTCACTGTATGAAAAGCAGATGGTTGCAGCCACAGTGCTGGTCATCTTCACGCCATTCTGCCTCATCCTGGTGTCCTATGCCTGCATCATCTCCAGCATCCTGAAGATTTCCTCTGCAGAGAGCAGACACAAGACCTTCTCCACCTGCTCCTCACACCTTATTGTTGTAACATTGTACTGTGCAAGTGGAACCTTGAATTACTTACGACCGAATTCCCGTAATTCACAAGACACTAAGAAAGTTGTTGCTGTCATATACACAACCATAATTCCCATGTTAAACCCCCTGATTTACAGCCTGAGGAATAAAGAAGTGAGAGAAGTACTAATCGTAACTATGACTGTGTTGGTGAAGAAATAAATCTGTTCTGGCCCATGAATGTGTGTATTAAAAATCTTATTTCCTTTTTTGGTGTCTGTGTAAGGTTCACCAGCTCAGTGGACACAGCAGAATCAAAGAGAAATTTCACATAGTGCAGGGCCAGAGGAAATGGCATGAAGCTGTGTTGGGAAGGATTAGGATAGATACTAGGAAAAGGTTCTTCATCCAGAAGGTGGTCAGACACTGGAACAGGCTCCCCAGGGTGGTGGTCACAGCCCCAACCTTCCAAAGTTCAAGAAGCATTTGAACAATACTCTCAGGCCCATGGTGGGATTCTTGGGGTGTCCTGTGCAGGGACACAAGTTGGACTCAATGACTTTTGTGGTTCTCTGCCAATTCAGGAGGTTATGTGATTCTCTGAGTCTAAGAAAGCACCTTGGGATTCATCTCCACTAAGGTAAGTCTTCTGCTGTCAGAAATCAGCATACACCTTAAGAAACCTAAATACAGATTTAATGGAACCGTACCCCACTAGGGATAGATTTCCACATTCTCTGTAGTTGCTGTTTTGGATACAACGATGGGGCCTGTGGATGTAACCCATGGCATACATGGAACTTATGCTTCTTTGCAGTGATACTCTGTGTGGAAGTGCTCTAGATGAGATGAGGTTGTCTAATTTTGAATTTTGAGGTGTCTGAGTAGTTTTAGATTATTGCTGAGTCTTCTTGAAAGTCAAAGGAATGTAATGAAGAACTCCAGAAGGAAAGCTGGCCCAGTACTATGTCTCCCTCTATGATTATATCCTTATGCCATTAGTTATAAAAGCATCCAAGACAACTTATTCCTGGTTCCATACAGGGACTTTTCCATTCCCCTCAGATCAATGGTGTGGGAAAATGTGGTTTCCAGAAAGGATAAACAGTCAGGAAGCATGGGAGCGAAAAGAATAGTAGAATCCACAGACACGACACGTCTGTGACTCCCATGGGAATAAATTCTGTCACCATGGCATGGGTTTGCAAATGAAAAGTNAGCTATGAAACCACACGCTGTATTTATATTGGGGTGGCACGGCAAGGGTTGGGGGTGGAAGGGGAGCTGCAGAGGTGTCCTCAGTGAGAAGAGAGCAAGAGGTGCCCCCATGTCAGACAGAGCCAAGACTCCAAGACGGATCCACCACTGCCAAAAACAGAGCCAAAGAGCAATGGTGGTGGTGGCTCTGTGATAACAGACTGACACTGCACAGCAGCTGTGGGAGAGGAGTGAGAAATTGTGAAACATCCCTACAGACACGGAGGTCAGAAAAGAAGGTGGGGGAGAAGGCACCCTAGGTGGCAGGCAAAGAGTCCCTTGACCACCGTGGAGAATCTCAGAATCACAAAATGGTTCAGGTTGGAAGGGGTCACAGTGGGTCATCTGGTCCAGCTCAAGTAGGCTCTTCCTTGAGCACATTGCACAGGATTGAATCCAGACAGTTCTGGAATATCTCCTGTGAGGGAGAATCCACAGCCTCTCTGGGCAATCTCTTCTTCATTTGCTCTCTCTGGATCACAAGCCCCACACAGCTGTGAGCCCGTGCTTTCCAGCTTTGTTCTTTTCCGCTTACTGTGGCAATAGATGTTTATGCATCTTCATACATGTTTTCTTTCTCCTTGGAGCTCAACTGTTTGGCCAAGCTGCTCCCCTGATAGATCTGCTTGTTTTCCTGTGTATCCAAAAGGACCATTTTCATGCTTGAAGGAGATTTGCCTTGAAGACATGTTGAGCTCTCTTGTGCTCCTTTGCCCTTTACAGAATATACCTGTGGGATCTCATCTACTGTTTCCTTGTCGGGATGGGAGGCTGACATCATCCTGGGATCTGTCAGCAGGAGACCAGCCAGGAAATCTAGGGATGTGATTAGTGTGCTTTACTCAGTACTCACCTGACCACACCTACAATGCTGCATCCTATCTTGGGCTCCACAAGAGAAGGAAAATGGGGATATACTGGACTGACATGCCAGGAAGGAGGTTGGGGCTTGAGGACAAAGCCTACAATAGGAATCTTTCCCACAAGTTCCCAGTTGGCCCACTGCCCACCCATAGAATTGCTGCTCCTTCACATAGAAGGAAACCCCTTCCCTCTGTCCCTGCCTGTCTTTCCTGTACACCCCTCATATGGCGCAAAATCGGTCAAATGAAGAGCTCAGGTACTCCAGGGACATCAGGGTTGTGCTTGCAGAGCTCTGACAAGCTTCTGTTTGTGTGTAGCCATGTGCAGAGAGCCCAGTTTTATGCTGTTTCATCTTTCTTGAGCGTCTCCCCCCCTCATGACTTGACAGATATCTCACTACAGTTCCTTGCACCTCTAGACAAGTGAGTGAATCACACGAAGTCTGGGTTTTCTTCTTTTCATGTTTCAGGCTGAGAAATGGAGATGTATCAATGTGGCACAAATCCAGTGAAAAACCTGAGCTCACTTAACACAACAGAATTCAAGTAGTAAGGGTTGGCCACTACCATTCCTGGGAGACAAAGTCAACAGCCACCTGGGCTGCCTTAGCAGGGGCATGGCCAGCAGACTGAGGGAAGGAATTAGCCTCCCTTTGCTCAGTACCTGTTAAACAACATCTAGAATTCTGTGTTCAGTTTTGTGACCCACACAAGAAAGGCACTGATAATCGAACCCAGGGGAGGCTTAATGAACCCATCCTAGAGATGAATCAACAAAGAGCCAGAAAACACAGATGAATGCCTTGGCACCCTCTTCCATAGTGCATCAATGTGAGGTCAATCTCTAGCTGTCCTGTGCAACAAAATAGCTAATTCCACATGGAACTGAACTCATCATGAGCAGTTCACCCTACAAATTCTCCCACAGGTCTTCATGGAGGAAATCAGGCTCTAGTCCCTCTTCTCTATACAACTTTCTGATACTTCCAGCTCTATGTTACAGCCCCAAACACCTGCACACCACCCACGACAGACTCCACTGACAGCCCCAGTTTCATGTAAAGCAGTTCTTCTCTTTGTCGCTTGGACTGTCATCTTCTTATTTCAAGCTCTTTGAAAGTAAGAAAAGTTGTTTTGTCTAAAAATTCTGGGGAGAGGATCACCGTCTGCCGGAGACCTTGGCAAAGGGCTGCATGGGGTGCCGTGGTGACCTCTGTGGGTTCCTCAGCCACAGTATGAAGCAAAGCTGCTTTGCACTTCCTTGGTCTGAGCATCAGGGATCACTCACTGGAACAGTTTCTTACACAACTGTGAATATATCTTCATTCTAGTCAGAGCACAAGGTAACTCTCTTCTATCAACCTCTTAGCTAATGAGCTAAAATTCAGGTTATATTCAGGTTATATCCAGGCCACCAAAGGTAGGTTTATAAAGAGGCTGTTGTCCAGAGCTTGGAGTCCCTGTGGTGGGACATGTGCTGTGCACAGGACACTTCTAGAGTCTTCTTCCAGACATCAATGATGCTGAGATAAAGGGAAGTTTTCTCTTGAAGGAAATGTCCAGTTTATAGAGGCTGAAGTTAAGACACACTCACTCATGCAGCAAGTTACCAGAGGCTCTACTTTTGGTGCTTTTTCTTTTTAATTTTTTTTTTTTTTAAGCACATCACCCAGGTTTTTTGCTGCAGAACTGGAGGGACACTGTGAATGAACATTTTAAAATGCATGATCTGCTGGGTCATTGATGGAAACAAACTTAGCGTGATGTTCATACTGTTTCTCTGCAGCAATGAGTTTTCCTCATCCATGGAAAAAGGTGTTTCAGTTCAGTAGGAAGCAGTTTCAGTTTTCAGTTCAGAGGACTTAATACAACCATTCATTTATTAAAGCACAGAACACAGTTTATATCCAGAACCAGACAACAAGCTCTCAGTACTCTGCAGAAATCTCAGTGATGCTTTGAAAGAATTCTGAGAACTTTTCAAGGGACATTTTTAATAATCAGCATTGGAGAATAAAATTCCTGAAAAGCAACACTGAATCATCTTACTGAAAATCTGCGAGGTAAGGAAAAGAAAACTTCACTGTTCCAGGAGCAAATCAATAGTGACCATGTCTGTCACTGCATAGTCATGCAGATGGACATCAGACTACCCTATAGCTGCTCCTCTGACAAGACTGGGAACAAGCTACTGAATGCACTTTGAGGCACTAGGTAACCAACTGGGTAACCAAGTAAGTAACCAACTAGGTAGCCAGTTAGGTAGCCAAGCCAGCCTCAGGTACCACCACACTCTTTTACTCTCCAGCTCTCAGTATAGATGGCATTCACTTTTCTGCAGGTATATGGCTCTAAGCAAGCTTGGCAATATCTAGAATAAAGATCTAAGGCAACCATCTTTTCTTCCTAACTGGTCTAAAACTGTCTTCCTCCCTGTATCCTCTTGGAGCCAGTGAAGCCCACTGGAAAAGAACAAGTCAGAGGAGGATGTCAGGAAGGCCACCTGAAGCACTTGTGTGGGCAGAAACTGAATAGTTCCCTTCCCAGCAGCCACTTGCACTTCTGATGGGGAAATGCCTCCTACAGTAAAAATGGGAGCCCAACCCCCAACACTTCAAAGCTCTCCCATGGGGCAGGTGGTGCTGGGCAGCACCCCCTACCCTCTGCACCCTGTCCAGCACTGCTGCAGTTCACTTCCCAAGACATGCCAGCTTCACAAGAGGCCTTTCCCAGGCAACATCCCCAGCTTGGAGACCCCAGGATGGAGTCAATTCGCAGCATGATCTCTATTATTGCCCCTGGCTCCCCACTCTGGGCACAAAAGTCACCCTCCATANTGCAGAGCTCTGACAAGCTTCTGTTTGTGTGTAGCCATGTGCAGAGAGCCCAGTTTTATGCTGTTTCATCTTTCTTGAGCGTCTCCCCCCCTCATTCCCCTGCCCCATGGATTCAGCACACAGAGCCCTGTGCCCCCTCCAAGCTCACTTTCAGCATTTTGCTCCATATTTACTCCCCCTGCAAAATGTTCAAGAAAAAAAGTTAATTTTACAGGCACTTATAATATTTTGGAAAAGCTAATTAGTGACCATAAATGGTTTTTCTCTTTCAGACTGGATGTGCCCTACAGCAATGGGATGAATTCTCTTGTGCAGATGGGTGAATCTCTGACTGAGAAGAAAAGTAGGGACCTAGAAGACTTAAGTATTCATCTAGCCAACTCAGTTTTGAGATCTAGAATTGTCCATTTAGATCCAGACTAATCATGTTGCACTCCTTTTATTAGCAGAAGTGTTTATTTTATCAGCAATGAAAGAGGGTTTGCAGTCCATCCTCAGGCAGGACATTTACAAGAGGTCACAGGAATCCACTCTGATGTTTTCTCTCCAGTAATCAAGGGAGATTGTCTCCTGTGAAAAACATCCTACAGTGGGAGGCAGATTCTTAAATGTGTGTTTAGCATGTTTTGAGATGCCCTAAGGTTGCTAATATATTTGCATGAAGCTGCTGATTACCTGCCACTTTCTGAAAGTCCAAGAGGGGAAGTACATCTCAATTGGCACTTTCTGACTCCATTTAGGCACCAGGATCCCATTAGCAAAGGCTGAAGTCACACCCCATAACAGGTGATATTAGCAGCTCTGACTGCTGTTGGGAGAAATACATTGAAAGGTCCATGTTGGATCACTGCAGACACGTTTGGACTCCTGTTTCTATCTCTACATATTTCTGGGGTAAAAATCTGCTACACTGGGTTTTCATCATGGAGATTATGGGATCTCATCATACATATATATAGGTATGTATGTATAAATATGAACATGAACATATATTAAAATAATTATAGGAAATATGAGCAGTGTTTATATACACATATATAGAGAGAGAGACATGCATATAAAACTTCTATGTAATACACATATATAAACCATATGTAGACTAGACATATATATGTGTATACATATAGTATGTACGTGCATACATGTGTATTTCATATATGGAACTGTGATTACTGAAGTATTTGTTTCTGACAGTTTGGTACATGATGTGGGATTTGTGAACTTTGTCTTCAGTGAGCAAAACATGTTTAGGGCAGCTGTGAAATTCAGATGGTGGAGAGACTACAGAGCAGACCTTCAAGTCTCAACCAAAATCCCTGACTTTCTCTTCACAGTTTTCACCAACACACTGGAAAGAAAATGTTTAACCAAAGCACTGTGGCTGAGTTCCTTCTCATGGGATTCTCTGACACTCGAGAACTGCAGATATTCCACTTTATGTTATTTCTGACTGCCATGGTGGGAAACTTTCTCATTATTGTGGTTATAGCTGCCAGTAATCACCTTCACACCCCCATGTACTTCTTCTTGCTGAATTTGTCCATCTTAGACCTTTCAACCATCTTTGTCACCCTCCCAAAGTCCATGGCCAATTTTCTATGGAATACCACATCCATCTCCTATTCCGGCTGTGTTGCCCAAGTCTTTTTCTTCCATGTTTTTGGTGCTGCTGAACTTGCTTTACTGACTGTCATGGCATATGATCATTATATTGCCATCTGCAGACCTCTTTACTACAATATCATCACGAAGGGGAGCACTTGCAGCCTTGTGGCAGCCAGTGCATGGCTCAGCTGTGTCCCTTACTCTGCTCTACACACTGGGAACATCTTTTCTTTAACCTGCAAGTCCAACATTATTGAACAGTTCTTTTGTGAAGTTCCATAGCTTCTCAAGCTTTCCTGTCCTCATTCATATTTTAGTGAAGTTGGAGTTCTTACATTTAGTTTTCTTTTAGTTGCCTCTGTTTTGTTTTTATAAGTATGTCTTATATTCAGATTTTCACTGTGGTTTTGAGAATTCCTGTCAAGGAAATCCAGCGTAAAGCATTTTCAACCTGCATCCCCCATCTCATTGTGGTCTCTATGTTTGTTAGCACTGGTTCTTTTGCCTACCTTAAGCCTGTCTCTAACTCCCCCTCAGCTCCGGATCTCACAGTTTCTCTTTTCTATTCTGTGTTGCCACCAGTGATAAATCCAGTCATTTACACCATGAGGAAAAATGACATCAAAGCTGCCATGCAAAAATTAACTGGTTGCAGATTATTATACAGAAATAAATAGGGTTTTTATCAGGCTTCCTCTATGTTCCAGGAAATGAGCACTTCATGAGCAAAGGTCAAGGGTAAGTTCTATGAGGATCACCTGAGAAAGCTGGGGTTTTCTAGCCTGGAGAAAAGTAGGCTCAAAGGAGACCTTTTCCCTATATACAAATACATGAAAGGCGGTTGTAGCAAGGTGTCTATTCTCCCAGGCAACAAGTGATAGAATGTGAAGAAATAGCCTTAAGTTGCACCGGGGGAGGTTCAGGTTGGACATTAGGAGGAATTTCTTCATGGAAAGGGTGGTCAGGCATTGGAAGAGGCTTCCCAGGGAGGAGGTAGAGTCACCATCCCTAGAAGTGTTCAAGAAATGAATGGACGTGGCACTTAGTGCCATGGTCCAGTTGAGTGCCATGGTCTAGCTGATAAGGCAACTGGATTTGTCAAAGGTTGGACTTGATGATCTCAGAATCATTTCCAAACAAAATGATTCCATGATTCTGTGGTTAATTTCCCAGTATCAAACAGTTTATATCACTGGAATAAGAGAAAAATATTGACCTATTTTTGAAGAAGATTTTGTGAACATTTCATTATACATGCAATTTTGACCTGCTGATGGCAGCAGCTTTCACAGAACGATATATGGAATGGAATGGAACAAATCCAGGGTAATGCTCACAAACCCTTTGTGCATGCCTGCCTGCCTATGTCTCTATCTCACCTTCCCTTTGCTTTATATATGTTTATAGAATATAATTTATAATTAGGCTCTTTTATAAAAGGGACACACCTCAATGTGCATGTATGTGTGAGAATCACGGAATGACAGGATCCCAGAATGGGTCAGGCTGGAAGGGACCACAGTGGGTCATCTGGTCCCATCTCGCTGCTCAAGGGCAGGGTCAACCCAGAGAACCTGGCACAGGATTGTGTCCAGATGGTTCTGAAATATCTCTAGTGAGGAAAACTCCACAATCTCTCTGGGAAATCTGTTCCAGTGTTCAGTCACCTGCACAGTTGTATTGGGTCTGGCTGAGCTGGAGCTCATTTCCCCACAGCAGCCCTCACAGTGCTGTGCGTTGCATTGGCAGCTGGAAGAGTGTTGATAACACACTGGTGTTTTGGCCACTGCTGAGCACAGCACCAGCACTGGGACATTCCTTCCTTAGCTGAGGGCAAGATTCTGGGAGGGGACCCAAGTAGGCCAGCTGACCCAAACTGACCAAAGGGACATTCCAGACCATGTGACATCAGCTCAGCTATAAAAGCTGAGGCACGGAGCAGGAGAGGGGCATTCATTGGCTCCAATGGCTGCCTGCTGAGGAACCATCACACGTCCCCAAGCCCTGCTCCTCGGGAGTGGCCGACCAGGGCTGCTCATGGGAAGCAGAGAACAAACCCTGCTATCTTTTGCTTCTGCGCGCGCAAGCTTCACTTTACTTTTTTGCTTTAAATAAACTGCCTTATCCCAACCCACGAGTTGTTTCTTTTCCCACCTTACTCTCTCCTCTGCCCTGCTGGGAAGGGGGGTGATAGAACGGCTGGGTGGGCACCTGCCGTCCAGCCAAGCTCAACCCACCACAACAGTAAAGAAGTTCTTCCTCATATTCAGGTGGAACTTCCTGTGCATCAGTTTCTGGCCATGGCCTTTTGTCCTATTGCTCAGCACCCCTAAACAGAGCCTTGTCCCTCCTCCCTTCAGACACTGACAGATATTGTTGAGGTTCCCTCTCAGTCATCTCTCGAGGCTGAACAGGCCCAGCTCCCTCAGCCTGCGCTCATAACAAAGATGCTCCAGTCCCTTAACCATCTCCACAGCCTCCACTGGACCTGCTCCAGGAGCACCATGTCTCTCTTGTGCTGAGGAGCCCAGAACTGGACACAATGCTCCAGATGTGCCTCACCAGGGCTGAGTAGAGGGTCAGGATCACCTCCTTGACCTGCTGGCAATGCTCTTCCTAATGCACCCAGCATCTCATTGGTCTTCTTGGCCCCCAGGGCACACGACTGGTTCACAGGCAGCTTGTGAGAACCCCGAGGTCCTTCCCCAAAATGGTGCTTTCCAACAGGTCATGCCTAGCCTGTAGTGGTGCCTGGGATTGTTCCTTCTCAGCTGCAGGACCCTGCATTTGCCCTTGATGAATCTCAGAAGGTTCTTCTCTGCCCATCTCTCCAACCTGCTGAGGTTCCTCTGAAGGGCTGCGCAGCCCTCTGGGTTAATGGCCACTCCTCCTAGTTTTGTATCATCAGTAAACTTGCTGAGGATGCATCTGCCCCTTCATCCAAACCAGTGATAAATAAATTAAACAATATTGGGCCCAGTATTGAACTTCCAGAAACTGCCCAATTGGTCATGGTGTTTATTTGAAAATACTAGGAGAAACGCAGAGAAGGGTTTTGGTGGTGTCCATCTAGATATGTCTCCACTGGAGATTTCGCTTTATTACATCAGGTCCATTACATGCTATGGCGATTAGAGTGCATGATGTGCATCTTTATTATCATTACTATAAAGCTAAATAAATGTTCATTCACATTATCTGCTTTGTACTGTAAATTACCCGTACAATTGCACGTTGTTCTTTTCCAAAGTAAATTATCATTGCTTTCCATTTCCTCCCAGCCTCACCCCCAAACCTTTACATAATGGAATCACTGTGTCCTGATTTTGAGCAGCTGAATTATTGTCGTTTGTTGGAAATCCCAAAAGTTTGGTGTGAGATTCTAAACACCAAATACTATTTTTGCTTTCAGATCCAATAAACCCATGAGAAGAAATACCTATTTATCATCTTTGACTATGCATGGAGCGTGAAGGGTAACTTAAGTGTGAGATTGAACTACACAAAAAATCTCCATGAAAAGTGTAGATGTAGAAAAGTAACAATTGTTAAAATATGGTGAATTTTTTTAGGGTTTGACCTTGCCTAGCTGCCAGGTGCCTACATAGCTGCTCCCTCACTCGTTTTCTTCAATAGGACATGAAGAAAAATAAATGAAAAAGGTTGTGAGGTAAGAAAAAATATGGTATTTGCTTAGCAATTACTGTCACAGGCAAAACAAACTCAACTTGGGGAAGACTGATATAATTTACTGACAATTAAAAATAGAGTAGGAAGGTGAGAAATAAAAGCAAAAACTAAAACACCCTTCCCCCATGTCCCCTTATTCCCAGGTGCAGCTTCACTTCTCTGCTGACTTCCTTTGCTCCCCACCCCTGCCATCTGTACAGGGAGGATGGCAGACTGGGGCCTCTGACCAATACACAGCAATTTCCTTCTGGACCTTTGACACTTTTCTTCTGCTCCAGCACAGGTCCTCCCCATGGGTTGCAATTCCTTCAGCAAATCTCCATCTGGTCCAGCAGTGTCCTCCATGGGCTGCAGCATGAATCTCTGCTCCATCATGGGCTGTAGGGAAATACCTCTTCCTCCTCCTCCTCCCTCTCTTACTGTGGTGTTTGCACTGCTGTTCTCACTCTTCTTTTCCCTCCTGTTCTGTCTGCATAGCATTATTTGCCTTTTCTTACATGTGATTTTACAAGGAGGCCACCAGCTTTGCTGACTGCCTCTGTAAGTGGGTCTGGTTTGGAACCACCTGTGATTGGCATGGGAAAATCCCACATAGGGGATTCCCACAGAGGTCACTGCTGCAGCCTCCCCACTACCAAAACCTTGTCATGTAAACCTAATATGCTTGAAAATCCTAGAACATCATAAATGGCACTGGACTTCAATACATAGGCAGCTAAATCTCATTCCACAATGGTATTTCACTCACTCCCCAGCTGTCACCTCAGAAAACCAGTCCTTTCTATCCTGCCTCCTACCTGACAGGTGGTTCAGATATCTCAGGACAGCTGAAATAGCACTGGACACCTATGGTAAACACTGCAGTGATCCAGTGAAATCCACCCCTTTACTTGACAAACCATTTTTTAGGAAAAAAAAAAAAAGAAGAAAGAAAAAGAAAAAAAAAGTTCCTCTAGCAAATAACATTATTTTTACCTTTCTATAAAAAGCCAGAAAGGCACACAGGAAGAGAGGAGGGAAACAAACAGACAGTCAGATACATGAAAGTGTTTTCCTGTATTATCTTTACAGATTTTTCTCCCTGCAGTCTGGTATTTTGAACTAATGACTGAGTAAATCTCAGAGAAAATCAGAATATGGAAATGAAGCAAATTTTAGTATTTGTGATTAGCATTATTTTTCAGAACACAGTGATTATGGTAGAGAACAAATATGTGAACAAGCCAGCTTTGGTGAGTTGGCCATAGACAGCAACTAAGCACCCACCCAGCAGTTCACTCGCTCCATCCCACAAGAGTGTGATTTTAATGGCATGTGATACGTCCCTTTGACTAGTTTGGGTCAGCTTTCCTGGCTGTGTTCCCACCTAGCTTCTTTTCCACCCCCAGCAGTGAGGGAAGAGCACATCCTGAAGACAGCGGGCTCCACAAAGCAGCCCAGCAGGGAATTTGCTGCCTCCAGACATTCATCCAGTTGGACTTCTGCAAGAAGAGAGAAAATGCAGAGAGAGACTACAACTCAGTAAGGGAATACGTTGTGTATCAACAGTCTCACAGACTGCAGCACAGGAGCACTGGGAAAGAGGAATATGA